ATGAATGAAAATAGACAATGAGGTCCGCCCTGCCGGAGGACTCTGTGGTGGCGCTCCCTCCAGCCTGCTCTGAACCCTTCCCAGCCACAGTAGAACAGCCCACAGAAGTCCCTGGCCAGGCGCGGTGGCTCAAGCCTGTAATCCCAGCACTTTGGGAGGCCGAGGCAGGCGGATCACAAGGTCAGGAGATTGAGACCCATCCTGGCTAACACAGTGAAACCCCATCTCTACTAAAAATACAAAAAAAATAATTAGCTGGGCGCGGTGGCGGGCGCCTGTAGTCCCAGCTACTCGGGAGGCTGAGGCAGAAGAATGGCGTGAACCCAGGGGACTGAGCTTGCACTGAGCCGAGCTCGTGCCACTGTACTGCAGCCTGGGCGACAGAGCGAGACTCCATCTCAAAATAAAAAAAAGAAAGAAAGAACAGCCCACAGAAGTCCTCACGTGCCTGGCTCCCCTTTTCATGGGCACGTGGCTCCCACAGGCGCGCAGCCGATCAGAAGAGGCCGGAGTTGGTGGCTTGCAGTGGGGGCTGGGCATGTTCAGCAGGAGGCTGCTGCTGAGGGGAGCTGGGTCTCCTCACCAGCCCTAGCGGTTTCTCTCCCATGCTGTGGCCCTGCTGAGCTGCCCAGCACTCGGAAGTGACTGCCCTGTGTCCTCGATCCACGAGGCCGTGCTTCCCTCCCCGCGACCCACCGGCCTTGCCTCCTTCCTGCTGTTCGCTTCTTGGGTGTCCCAGCTCCCCAGCTCCCTGCAGGGCCAAGTGGAGACCCGCAGAAGTGCCCCCAGCTGCCACCTCCTTCCAGTCCAGCCGTGGGCGGGCTGGCACCAGCAGCTTTGTCCTGACAGTGGCGCCAGCCCCCAGGGCAGGGGACGCATCTCTGGAGCCTGGCCATCCCCAGCCGGGCGAGGGGGCTCAGGCCGGGCTCCAGGCCACGGCAGTGTGCTCCATGGAGTGTGTCTGCCTGTCCCCCTCCACGGGTGCACACAGGTGCTTTTTTTAATTACTTAAGGAAAAGCAATTGCAAAGCCGCTCAATACAAATCCCCTAAGCTGCTGTGGATGGGGATGCCGGGGCGGCCGGCCCGGCCAGGAGTCTGAAACGCGTGCACCATCTGTGCTCCTGCCACTCCACGGCCAAGTGACACCGCCAGCCTTTCTCTCCCGCGCCATCTTTCATTAAATGAATTGAGTTTGCTGGGAATTGCTTGGCCGTAAATATTCCCTCCTGCTCAGCATGGTCGGGCTCTAACTGTTCCCAAGCCCCTGCTCCTGGATCCAGCAGAAGGTTCCATGGCTCCCTCAGGGCTGGGGAAGGTGGGAGGAGGCACGAGCTGCAGGAAATTCCACAGGAAGGTTTCTGCCGTCCCCAACCCCACAGCTTCAGATTTGGGGTCGTAAATAGGTCAGTGTCTCCAAGCAAAGGGCGGGCCACCTGGAAAGGTTTGTCGGGGCAAGGGAATAGTCGCGTGGAATGAAGTCTTTCCCTTCCCGTTTCCTTCATCCCGTGGAGCACGGGTGGTGACAGCAAGAGAGGCACTTGAAACGGAAGAGTGTCTCGTGATGTCTGGAAATGGGCTGCTCCTTTGCGTGTTTGATGGAGAGGCAGAAAGTTCCCCGTGGGCTTCTGAGGCTGAGATGAGGGTTGGCAGAGGTGGGGGCAGTCTGTGTCTGGCATGTGGTCCCTGGGCCTGCCTCTCCCCAGCAGGAGACAAGGGCTGTGCCCCCTTCAGGGGAGAGGCCGTGCCTCTGCCCCCCACCCTCCGAGCTTCTGCATGGCCCTCCCCCATGCCTGTGGAGACTCCCAGGGATACTTTGTCCCCTAGAGTCTAGACCAGGAGTTTCCAAACTGCAGCCCGTGGGTCAACTCTGGCCCTGGCCTGTGTTTGTCAATGGTTTTATTAAAGCACAACCACGTGCATGCATTTGCCCATCGTCTGTGATGCTTTTGAGACATGGTGGCAGAGTTTCTCGAAGCTGAAAACGCTTAGCATTTGGGCCTGTGTGACACTGTTTGCCAGCCCTGCCCTTTCCCCCTTCCTCTTGAGGCTGGTGTTTTTCCAGCCGCATCTGAGCGGGTAAGCAACAGACCAGAGCTTCCTGGCCGCCTCCTGGGATGTGAATGCCATGGTGGGAATTGCCGCTTGGGCATCTGGGTTCATGCCTTGTAGAAACAGGGTCTCCCTGTGTTGCCCTGTTCATGCCTTCTGGGGCCTGGCTTCTCTGGCCCCAAGTCCCTGCGATGTTGAGTGTCACCAGGTCACCTGCAGAACATCCTTCACAGTGCCCCGTGTGACCAAAGTGATGCAGCAGCAGAGCCACCAGGAACAGTGACCTGGGAAGGGCTGAGGGCATGAGAGCGGCGGGTCTGCCCGGGAGGCAGCTAGAGGGACTTCAGCTCATCCTTGACACTCGCTTGAGGTTCCCAGACACAAGGGCTGCAGGAAATTCCTATTGGGTGTTTGCTCAATTCCCGCAAGACCCCAGGCAAGCCGGCCACAGCACGTGGCATGTTCATGTCCTTTCATAGCCACTAAGTCCCTGAGCCTCCCAGACCCCCAGTGTGTTCTTCATTAACACTGGCGTCCCTCCAGCCCTGCAAGCTGGCGGCAGTTAGGTGACGTGTGCGGGAGCCTGTGGGCCACCATTGCCCTCGTGAGGCCTCCTGAGGGGCCATTGTCACATTCCGGGATTCCTGTCGCTTCTCTCAGCTCTTTGGGGACTGCCATCATTTCCCCTCTCTCCAACCCTCTTGGAACAATTGCTGTTATAAAATACTCCGTATCCATTTTTACCTACCTGGGGGCAACCGCATCTGATGGGAGGGAGATTTTTGCCTGAACCAACAGGAGGCATCTGAATCTCAGCCTCGCTGGTCTCTGGACAACTGTGCGTGGGGTGGTGCCCAGCCCTGAACCTCAGGCCCCTCGTCGAGCCGTGCGCCCAGCCCCCGTTTCTCTTGGGTGTTTGTTCAGTGGCCATTACAACTCCATGGAGGCAAACCAGGGACTCACAACTGGGGGACGCCATTTCCTGACTTGTGATAGAAGTTCTAGAAACAGACCTGGAGTGGTGGTGCACACCTGTAATCCCAGGGCTTTGGGAAGCTGAGGCAGGAGGATCACTTGAACCCAGGAGTTCAATACTAGCCTGAACAACATAGCGAGATCCCATCTCTAAAAAGTCTAAGAATTAGCCAGACGTGTTGGTGGGTTCCTGTAGTCCCAGCTACGTAGGAGGCTGAGGCGGGAGGATCGCTTGAGCCTGAGAGGATGAGGCTGCAGTGAGCCATGATTGTACCACTGCGCTCCAGCCTGGGTGACAGTGAGACCCTGTCTTGAAAAGAAAAATGTTCTAGAAGCGGAAAGCTCAGTGGTGGTATGGGGTGTGGGAGGCCCGGGCCGTGGGCCCTACCTGCTCTGGAGTGGGGTGTGTGGAGCCAGCCATCCAGGTGTGGTGCAGGGAGGGGCTCAGGTGCCTGTCTCCTGCCACAGTGCACGTGCCGGAAGGACATGGTCAAGATCTCCATGGACGTGTTCGTGCGCATCCTGCAGCCTGAGCGCTACGAGCTGTGGAAGCAGGGCAAGGACCTCACGGTGCTGGACCACACACGGCCCACGGCGCTCACCAGCCCCGAGCTGAGCTCCTGGAGCGCGTCCCGGGCCTCGCTGAAGGCCAAGCTCCTCCGCAGGTGAGTTGCCAAGGGGCTGCCGTGTGACTGGCCCAGCGTGACAGAGGGTGGCCCTGCCGGGTGGCCCAGGCCCTTTCCCACCGGCAGGGACTCCAGGCTGTGTCCCGCTCCTCCCTTTCTTCCTATTCCCACCCCGCCTCCTCTTTCGTTCTCCTCCTCCTGTTCTGTCTGTTTCTCCTCGAGTCTGAGACAGTGTTTTCTCGAGGCCTTGCCTTGCTGGGGTGGGTGGGCCCTGCTCCGGCGGGCAGTGTCTGTGCCGTTCACACGCGCGGGGTCCCCATACTCCCTGTCATGTCCCCACCAGGAGGCTGACCCTCAGCATGGCATGCTTCCAGGCCCCATGCCACTGCTTCAGCAGAGTCACCAGGCCACATGGTTCCCTGTCCCTCTCACTCGCGGCCTTTCTGCTGTCGGGTTCCTCAGGCCCCTCCCTGGCACTGAGAGCAGGCGGGTCCCGTGCAAGGACTCACATGGCATTGGGTGGGCTGCAGAACCCCTGCCCTTCCGTGTCTGCGGTTGCTCCTTCGGTGTAAAGGTGCTGCTTGGATTTGAGATCGTGGAGAGGATTGCAGAAGGCTGGCTCCTGGCATGACCCTGGATGCCCTCCTCCCACTCAGAACCCCGCCCTGCGCATCGGTGTCTCCACTGCCGCACAGACCCTCCAGCCAGGTGTCTGGGGTCTGCCTGGAGGAGAGGGCAGAGCGTCTGCAGCCTCTTGGCTTCCGACTGCAAGAGGCCGTGGGGACATGGAGGCAGGTCCCAGCCAAGGAGGAGGTCCACTTCATGCCCAGAGTGAAGACGAGTGCTGGCGTCCCTGGTCCCCACTCTGGGAAGCGTCCAGGCTTCCAGGCTCTGAGCTGCTCTCGGCACAATTGTCGACAGATCTCACTGCTGTTTGGTGCCCAAGAAACATTCAGGGAGCCCCTGAGCACGAGCTGGAGCCGGGAGGGACGGCACGGAGTGGGCTCAGCGACCGCTCCTGGGAAGGGCCGGAGAGCAAACGTTTGTGACTTGGCAGCTTTGCAGGCCAGACCTCCTGTGTCTCGATGTCTCGACTCCTCATGGCATCTCAAGACCCCTGCAGATGATAGAGAAGAAATGTGCGGGGCTGTGTCCATGAAGCTTTGTTTACAGACCCTGAAATCCGGATCTCATGATTTTCACATGCTACCAAATATTATAATTTTTCTGTTTTGAGCCACTTAAAAATGTGAATATTGGCCAGGCACAGTCACTCACACCTGTAATCTCTGCGCTTTGGAGGCCAAGGAAGATGGATTGCTTGAGTCCAGGAATTTGAGACCAGCCTGGGCAACATCTTGAGACCCCATCTCTAAACAAAATTTAAAAATTAGCCGGGTGCGGTGGTGTGCTCCTGTGGTCCCAGCTACTCAGGAGGCTGAGACGGGAAGATCACTCGAGCCCAGGAGGTGGAGGCTGCAGCGAACTGAGATCATACCACTGCACTCCAGCCTGAATGACGGAGCAAGACCTTGTCTCTCTGGGGAAAAAAAACCTGTAAACACTGTTCCTACCTTGTGGGCCGTACCCAGACTAGCTGCTGGCAGGTCTGGTCTTTGGGCCTACAGTGGTGGCCCTGGTGTAGGGGCAGCCTCCCCCTTCGCTTTGAGCAGTGGCCTTCGTTCTGCAGCCATCCAGTCACTGCTGGCTTGATCTCATCCCAGCTGGCGATGGATGGTGCCCAGCTGGCGATGGATGGTGCCCACTCGAGACCCCGCCACTGAGCACCAAGGTTGGGGGCGGCTCAGCCTCGGCCCTCACCACGCTCTGAAGAAACAGGCCTTGGAACTGGTTTCTGAAAAGTCACTCCTGGTCCAGTAACTTCTCCTCTAACTGGGCACCTTCTTTTTTAGCACGTGCATCTGTTTGTGAGTCTGGACTCCTGGGTGGTCTGGGCATCTGCCTGGGCCTCCTCTGTCTTCCCCGCCCCGCAACCTGTCTCGGAGAATGTTCCCTCCGCCCCGAGTGTTTTTGCAGCCCCTCCTGACAGCCCCGCCGAGGTGAAGCTGTCTCTTCTGCTCTTGTGATCTGTCCTTTTGATTTCCTGCCGCCTGCCTGCTCCTCGTGAAGAGCCGCCTCCTGGGGAGGCCACTCCAGGCGGCCACACCGGCACAGAACTCGTGCACCCAGCTCCCAGGCCCAGCCGGACGCGCTATTTGCATAATGGTTAATTGATTGTGGCTCAGACTAATTGGTCAACAGAGCGGATTGCCAATAAACCGGCACCACGTTCCAGGAGTGGAATGGGACTAGAGGCCGTCTAAATTGCCTGCCAGGAGGAGATGCAGAAGCCACTGCGCTCACCGCTGCTTGGAACTGTCTTTGCACGCAGGAAGTGGACCCCCCAGAACCAGCCCTTGCACGGCCTGGCCTCCCTGCCCCAGCCGCCCCCTCGCTCCTAGTCACGACCTGCTCCCCCCAGGAGCCCCCTCCCGCCCTCTCCCGTGCACTGCCATTCTGGGGGCTGCCTTCCCCCAGCAGCGAGCCTGAAAAACAAATGAAGGCAGCTTCCCAAGGATGTAGTTTTCTTTAAAGCCTTCAGTATGTAAAACAAGGCTGATTCGCTTATTTTTTTTTTTTTTTTAGTCATCGGGGGTGCTTTTCTCTGGAGAGGCGGATGGGTGACTCACGTTTCAAAGCCCAGGCTGCCCCTCCCGCCCCCGGGGAGGTGGTTGGTTCTTCCCTGAGCAGTGCTCTCTCCACATGGCCTGCCTTCTCCCCTGACCCAGGCTCCCTCCTCAGGGAGTATCATGGGGCCAGGGCAGCCGTGTCTGAGCATCTGTAGCTCAGGCTGGATCGGGAGACACGGTGGACTGACTGGCTCTGTCTCCCAGACAAGGGGCTTGTGGACACAGGCTGGATCCTTCTCTGGTGGGGGGAGCATCCTGGACCCTGCAGGGTGCTGAGCAGCGTCCCTGGCCTCCACCCACTCCATGCCAGGAGCACCCCCCAAGTCGTGACAACCACAGATATCCCCAGACGTCGCCCAGTTCCGCGGGTGGGAACTCCTGCCCTAGACCAAGGGATGGCATCAGGGTGGGCGCCATGCCCTCACCCCAGTGCAGTCCAGCCTTCCCTGCCCTCAGCGTGTCTGTGGGACGACCCCACGTGTTTACCAGGTGCCCTGTGGGGTGCGGATGGTTCGGCACAGCAGCCTGACCTCAGAGGACATGGCTTGCTCCCTGCCCGCCACCTTACACGGGTTTCTTCCGGAGCTAAATCTTGTCGGGCGAGCGTTGGGGGCTGTTTGTATTCTTCCCCTGATGGATGGGTCGCCTAAAACGGCAGCCTGGCTCCTGGTGGGTTGTGTTGCTGTGCGTTCCTTCGCCTTGCCTGAGCCGGAGCCCTCACAGTGCTCTCTGGCACCCACGCGGCGCTCCTCCGTGCAGACTCTCCACGCGAGAAGCGCCATGTACACATGCTCCAGCATGTACGCGCCCCCTGCAGGACATCTGTGCGCCCGCCTCACCACAGCCTCCCTGGCCCACGGCTGCTCTGTGAGCCCGGCTGGGCCCAGGCCTCGTCTCCCCTACCCCTCCGAGCTCCGTGCTCCCTGTCCCCTCCAGCTCTGCCTTGGCCTGTCGCCCCCGCAGCAGTGCAGGACACCACCACGCCTCTGGCCCTGACTCCCGCCAGGGCTGGCGCACCCCAGCTGCGTTCCTGAGCCCTCCCCACCAACAGGGACCTCAGCCCTCAGGGACAGAACCTCACAAGCACAGGGACCTGCCAGCCCCTGCAGGGAGCGTGCAGCCTCAGGGACTCACTCACTGTCTCCTGTCTCTTTCCTAGAGCTGCTGTTCATTTTCTCAAAGGTGAAATTCCTCAGCACAGGGTCTAGTCTTGGGGGCGGGGAGCGCTGGGCCACTTGGGGGCAGGGGGTGGGGGGGCGGCTCTGAGGGCTCAGTCTGGGGCCAACCTCCCAGCCTTCCCTAAGCCTGGGGCAGCCCCAGTCCTCCCCGCCCTGTGAGAAGCCCTGAGCCAGCGCGGCACTGAGAGCTGACGGTCCCACTCTGGCTGCTGCAGGTGGCCCGTGTTACTGGGTGACAGGGCCGGAGGCCGTCCACCCCGCCTTCTGCCATACAAGCTGCAAAGGACACCTGCTTCCACCTTGGAAATATTAGTGCAGTTATCTGAACTACGTCCCGACATTTGGCTCATAGGAATGAGCCCAGGGGCGTCCAGTTAAGCCTGGCAGGCTAAGTGCTTATTTATCTCCACTCTCTCCTGAAACGCCCCTGAAACGCCACAGAGTGAAGTGCAGAGAACAGGAGGGGGGGCAGTGGCAGCTGAGCATGTCTACAGGCTTTGAAAAGCAGAGAAGGGTGGGCAGGAGACCTCCTGGGCCAGCGACCAGGAGGACAGCCAGCAGGGAGCGGCTGGTCTGCACCACGGGGCCGCAGAAAGACACAGTGGGCAGACGTGGGCAGCTCCTGGGGGGCTGCAGGGGGAACGCACCACGGGGCTGCAGAAAGACAGCAGGCAGACATGGCAGCTCCTGGGGGGCTGGAGGGATGCGGGGATAACCAGCAGAAGGCAGTGGGTGGCTCTGGGCAGGAGGGAGGCGCCTTCCTGAGGTTGGCAGTGGGGCCCAGCTGCCAGCCTCACGTCCCCCCACCCCCAAGGCCAGAAGAGACAATAGAGGGGGTGGGGTCCTCTCCCAGAGAACAAAGGGGCCCAGTAGAGCAAAGCCACAGATGCAGATACTGGGGCTCCCCTAAAGTCACAGGCTCCTACCCTCAGCAGCCCCTGCCACTGCCTTCACCAGGCCCATCTCACACACGGCTTGTCACCGTGCACAGAGGGATCAACGGCCAGGGGTCCCCACACATTGGCGGCCACGCTCCCATGACAAAGCAGGGCCTGCACAGCGAAGAAGGGAAGAGCTCCGAGGAAGGAGGATGCAGTGAGCGTGGGGCCCTGGAGCGGTCCGGGATTTTGCATTATGGAAGAAGAGCCATTGCTGTGAAGAAGAAACATTGCAGGAACGAGTGACTCTCGGATGTTACCATCTAGAGGAGAGAAGCGCCCTGGTGGATTGGGAGGCTCTTGAAGAAGCCCCTCCCACAGCACAGACGGACCGACAGAGCTGGAAGATATGAAGGATCAGGAAGTCAGAGGCATAGTCCAGGAAATCTAGCCCCTGATTGGAGTTTCAGAAAAAAAGAAAAGTATCCCAGGACCCAAATACTTTGCATTTCCAGGTTTAAAAGTCCGGAAAGTCCACCCAAGAATGGAAATTACCCAAACGACAACACATCGCTGTGAAATTTCACAACTTCTGGATTAAACAAAGGCCCTGAAAGCTTCCAGAGCAAACAGATCACTAAACAGCTCACCAGACTGGGGCTGGGCATGGTAGCTCACGCCTGTGATCCCAGCACTGTGGGAGGCCAAGGCAGGAGGATCTCTTGAGGCCAAGAGTTCGAGGTCAGCCTGGGCAACATAGCTAGACCCTGTCTCTACAAAAAAAAAAAGAACAGGAGACCCTATTAGCATTGGATCTACAATCATAATGCCATAAACTAAAAGACAAAGGAAAAAGGCCTTCAAAAGTCAGAAGAGGAATAATTCTCCCCAAATCTTTCACCCAGCCAAATTGTCAAGAAATGTGTGAGGAGAATAAGGATCTCTTTAGACACACAGAGTCTCGTATTCCATCTCCTTTCTCAGGAAGCTGCTGCGGGATGTGTTCCAGCTAAACAAGGATGTAAACCAAGGAAGCCATGGGATTGAGGAAACAAGATCTAACCCAGGAGAGTCAAGGGGAGTCTCAAGATCATGGGAGAAGGAACCAAGACCCCTAGGGTGTCATGGAGAGAAGGGGACACCCTGCACAGGAGACCACAGCACGAATTTAAGAGCAACGGCAGGGAGCTCAGAGATACCAAGGAAGCTAGGTGTCTTCCTGAGGCCAGTTCCAGACCCCTATTGGGGGGGTTGGGGAATGCAGCCCGAGTTGCTCTGTGGCTCATGGATGCACAATGTTTATGGGGCATAAAAGCGTACACGTGGAATTTGGCTGCAGTGGAAGACAGTGGCAGGTGCAGGGAGAGAAGGGGACGGTCATGGAGGCGAGCAAGGACGGCCACACCCTCAGCACCTGTGCCGGGAGCCAGACCCAGAAATAAGCATCGGGTGCAGAAACACGCGAAAGGGGATGAAGATGTCAGGGTCAGGAAGAGGCGTGCCCTTAGGACCCCGCAGATGCCCCAAGTGATGGATGCCTCTCTGCCGTGGGCTGTGCCCCCCTTGCTGTGTCTGTGTATTGAGCCCTACCCAGTTCCATGTAGTGTGGGACCCAGGGGTCTCAGCCTGGCACTGCTGCAGGTAGGAAAGGGCTGGGCTGCAAGGATGAGGCCCCAGAGCTCTGGCTGGACACCAGGACAGTCCTGGGCCCTCTGGGGCAGACACAGTAAGGCTTCAAGGCTGTGGGGGTACACCTGGAAGGCTGTAGCAGGGGAGGGCCATGGTCAGAAGCGACCTCTAGGGTGGGTTTTCAGGGTGGGAGTGGAGGGAGGGACTGCAGTGGGTGGGAGAAGGGAGTATGGAGCTGGAGGCCGCCAAGGCCAGGTGAGTGGAGTAGGAGGGCACCCTTCTGCTGGTGGTGTCTGGGACCAGGGCGGGTCCACTGTAGGATCCTGGCCCAGCAGCCCTGGGGCATTCCCAGACCAGGAGGGCAGCCCACCTTGGGATGACAGTGGTTACAAGAGCCAGTTGCACCCAGCGCCAATCTGAAGCTTCCTATTCCTGAGCCTGCTATCTCCACATGGGGCAGGCACCCAGCATTTCCCTAGCCCTCAAGTGGAGCCTGAGGCTGCCTGCCCGGAGCCGTCCTTGGGCTGCTGTTATGGAGAATGTTCTCTGGAGGGCAGGGGCAGCTCCCGTGTCCCCCACCCACCTCCTGCTCCCTGTGTTAGTGACTCTGGCCCCACGCCCGCCCCTGCCTGCCTCCCGCCCCCGCCCGGCTGCCCCACAGCGACCTTGTGTGCAGCATGCTGTGTGATGCCATGCCTCTGGGCCACCCGCTTTCTGCCTTGAGTCATTGTGGTGGGCCATGCTGCAGACGTCGGGGAGCACTGATTCTAGCGAGTTAGGCAGCTGAGGAGCAAGGACTGGCAGTGACTAGTGTGCTAGGAAGGCTTCCTGGAGGAGGCGCCCCAGAAGCCAGCATGGAGCACAGGGCGGGCAGAGTGGCTGGGAGCAGCGGTGGGCAGGGGTCAGGTCCGAGTGTCCTGAGGGAGCATGGGCTGCTGCTGGCCCATGTGACAGCCTGGCTCAGGCAGAGGCGAGGAGGTCCTGGTGACAGAAGCCCCGCCAGCGGGCCCACCCCACCCCCATCAGATGAACCTGCCCCACCCTGGTGACCACTTGGTCCTTGGAGGGGCAGCTGCCACAGGGACCCCTGTGGGATTGAGGTGACCGAGTCTGAGCCCACAGGGACAGGGGACACGGGAAGCACCCAGAAGCCGCAGCCGGCATTGGTAATTGTCCTGGAAACACTGGCGCTCCCAGCTCTGCCTGGCTGCTGGCGGGCTTGACGCGGCTGGCTCTCAACTGGGAAGGGGAGAAAGGCCTCCGGGGGGCCGGGCTGTGCAGCCTCAAGCTCATGGCCTAGTGAGGCCCCTGGCCAGGCCAGGGCTTAGGGCAGCTGCAGGGGGTGGGCCTGGAGGAGGTGTAGACATCACACGCCCAGGGGAGGCGCCAGGCCTCGGCTTCTCTGCACTCCCGGCTTCTGCCTGAGCTCCCTGGGAGCCACCCGCTCCGCATCTCCAAAAACTTTTGCTTCCTTCCTGGAAAGGCCCTGGAGGTCCCCGGGGGAACCTGGTGCGAGGCCCTGGCCGCTCAGCTGCAGGTTCACCCGGCTGTCACTTTTCCTCCTTCCTTTTTCAGCTCCCCCCCTCTCATTTCTAAGAAGTGCTAGCTCAGCCAAGCTTGTAAGCCTTGGGCTGAATCCCTCACTTGGGGCTGGTGTGCAGGGACCGGGACCTCCCTGATGTACCCCGGGATTGTGGGTATCCAGGCTGGGCATACAGGATGCGCCTCCTCTTGGCCAACGCCTGCCCTGTGAGCAGATCCTGGGCTCGGGGTGCAGAGGAGGCCCTGGCAGACCCTGGGGCGTGGGCACAGGTCAGAGCAGCAGAGTGTGAGCTGGGGCTCCCATGCGCCTCAAAGGCTGCAGAGAGAGGACCCAGGGAGTCGGGGACAGAGCCAGGTGCCCAGGACCAGGTGTCCTGGGGAGTTGAGCAGAAGTCCTAGAGAAAAAAACCCGTGAAATTTACATTCTAGACAAATTAGTCTGAAAGAAAACAGACACTGGAAAAAGACTGAGGAGGAGAGGAAACCAAGTCTAGAAAGGAAGAAAGAGCAGACCAAAAGGCCGGGGCTGTCGTAAGTGTCTTTTTCGTTCCGTTTGTCGTCTAGGCATTTTCCATGAGCTGCTGTTTCCCTCGGAGCTCACACTCCCTGTGTCTCTGTCCCGTGGCACACACGGCTCTTGCCGCCCCGTCCCGCCCGTCATCCCACCTGGTGTCAGTCGGCTTCCCATCTCCAGCTGTCATCAGCGTCCCCTGCTTGACACCGTCCCCACCGTGTCCATTGCCCCGTCTCCCTTCAGTCTCTCCTCCCAACACAGCTCCTGCCCTGTAAGAGCAGAACCCCACGCAGGGTTCCCTTTACCCCTGGCCTCCAGCCAGGAGGCTCCTGCTCGTCGGGCACTCTTCTGGGGGTGGGTGGGGGCTGCGCGCTGCCAGACCGAGTGCACAGACCCAGGGCTCTTCCTCCCTGGTCTCCCCTCCTGCCTGATAAACCTCCCTCTCCAGGTCTCACCGGAAACGGAGCCAGCCCAAGAAGCCCAAGCCCGAAGACCCCAAGTCCCCCGGGGAGGGTACGGCTGGGGCGACGCTCCTGGAGGAGGCTGGGGGCAGCGTGAAGGAGGAGGCCGGGCCAGAGGCTGACCCCGAGGAGGAGGAGGAGGAGCCGCAGCCACTACCACACGGCCGGGAGGCCGAGGGTGCAGAAGGTCAGTCCCTGCCAGCCCAGGCCTGGCACCTCTGCTTTCCTACCCCCAGTGGGCATCTCCTAGAAGGAACCAGTGCCTGCTGCAGCCAGAGGCCCCGCTTTGTAAGAATCCCATTCAGTGGCTTTCTTGCCAGGGTGGGGCATTTCGTGAAAATAGACATTGTGAGGTGGAGGCCGTAAAAAAAGTGCCTGCTCCCCCAGAATTGAGAAGAGTAGTTACCAGAGGCCAGGCGCAGTGGCTCCCACCTGTAATCCTAGCACTTTGGGAAGCCAAGGTGGGAGGATCACTTGAGTCCAGGAGTTTGAGACCTGTCTCTACTTATGATTAAAAAAAAAATTAACCAGGCTTGGTGGCTTACACCTATAGTCCCAGCTACTTGGGAAGCTGAGGTGGAAAGTTGAGGCTGCAGTGTGCCGTGCTTGCACCACTGCACTCCAACCTGGGCAACAGAGCAAGACCCAGTATCTCACACACACACACACACACAAAATAATAATAATAATAAAATAAAAGACCAGGATGCTGTATGTGGCCCAGATGCTGGAACGTGCCTGCAGCGGCCGTGGCCACTTCTGAGCAGAGGGCCGGTCCTGACCCGTGAGCGGGTCTCCCACCTGCCCTCAGGCCTCCCAACTCTCCTGGGGCTGGTAAGACGGGGCAGCTGCCTTCCCACAGGAGTGTGAACCAGCAGTTGTGAACGGGGTGTGGGGGGCTGGGTGGCAGTCTCAGAAACATTCCCTTCTCCAGGGCGAGCTTTTGGCTGTGGAACTCCCACCTGTGAGTGTATAAAGGTTCCTGTTTCAGGGTTGACAGCATTTTATTTCCAGTGACTGGGTTTTATCTTCTCAATTTAGCGCTTTAGCTGCTTGGGAGTCTGCGCAAAGTGGCTGTTCCCAGCTGGGGCTCCCCGCTGGGAGCCCTTCCCTCTTTCCACCCTTTCTGGGCACCGTGCAGGGAGCAGGTGTGTGGGGTGTGCCGGCCAGCCTGCCTCCTACCAAGGGCTGCCCCCTGCTGTGGTGCCTGAGGCCCAGGTCATGGGGGCCACATTCACCGGAGAGTCCTAGTCCTCAGTTTCCCTCTGTATGAGCCCAGCACGACCTGGTCTGCCTCCGAGGTGTCAGGTCTCCAGGACGTGCTGTGCCCAAGGTGAATATTGGCCTTGGAACATGGCAAGAGGCCCAACCATGGTGCCATTCAGCAGACGTGAGGCCCCTCCCACCTGCCAGGGGCAGCCCTGGGGCACCTGATCTGTAACGATGGGGTCGTGGCCCTTGCAGTGCTCCAGGAGGCAGGCACACCCCTGCCCTCCCCATATACACAGAGCAGGTATTGAGGGTCACAGCTGGCCAGTGGCTGTGGGCCTGAGGCAAGAAAATGAGCATCCCTGGGGGAGAGAGCAGAGGCCGGGGGTGAGCGTGCTCCTGACATGCCACTCAGTGGGGCATGTGGGCTCTGTGTCTGTTCAGCACGCCTCAGGCGGGTCTGCTGCTCTGTGTCTGTTCGGCACGCCTCAGGCGGGTCTGCTGCTCTGTGTCTGTTCGGCACGCCTCAGGCGGGTCTGCTGCTCTGTGTCTGTTCGGCACGCCTCAGGAGGGTCTGCTGCTCAGTGTCTGTTCGGCACGCCTCAGGCGGGTCTGCTGCTCTGTGTCTGTTCGGCACGCCTCAGGCGGGTCTGCTGGCCTAGAGAGGCAAGATGAGGAAAGCAAAGGCATCGTGGGTAGAAAGGAAAACCACAGCTGTCATGGCACCGTTCGCATGTAGGACCGTTCTCTACTGAGAAGCAGCAAGTAAGTCTACAGGCGGAGCCACACGGTGACTCGGGGATCGAGCAGAGCTGCCAGAGATAAGCGACGGGCACAGAAACCCGATCGCGCCTCTCATCTGCGAGCTGCTCGCAGCAAGCACGGCTCCCAAAGATACCCCTTATGGTGCTACCAAACAGAGATAATGGATCTTGGAATAAACCTAATCAAAAAATGATCTTTATGGAGAAAATTAGAGACTTTTTTTGGAAATAAGAAAGAATTGCTAAATAAACAGAAGAATGTACCAGGTGTTAGGAGAGCTCCTGAGCAGACAGCTCACGGCTCCCCACACATTCTCTGCAGGTTCAGTGCAGCCCCATTTGGGATCCCAGCAGGGTTTGCCGATTTAAACGCAGGCGGATGAAAGCCCAAGGCCTGTCAAGAGGCCAGGGCCACCCTTCCAGAAGGCAGGGCTTGCCACAGAGCTTGCAGGACCCAAGCAAAGATGGCAAAGGGTCTAGGAATAGGAATCCCAGAGCAGTGGACGTGGTGTGAAACCTGGAGTCTCCTCCTTCCCCCTGTCCACGCTGCCACCTCTGTGAGCGCCCTGTGGCTGCTGAAATGAATGACCATGACCTTGGTGGCATAAAACAACACACACTCCTTCTCTCACAGCGCTGGAGGTCAGCAGCCTGACGCAGGCCTCACTCGGCTAAAATGCTGTGGGCAGGGCTGCTTCCTCCTGAGGGCTCCAGGGAAGAACGTGTGTCCTGCCTTTCTCAGTGTCTAGAGGCGCCCACATCCCTCGGTTCAGGGCCCCTTCGTCCCGCTTCGTAGCCACAGTGCAGCCTCTTCCGGTCTCTCTCTGACTCTTACCTTCCTATCTCCTACCCGGGGAGGACCCTGGGTCCCTGGGTCATCCGGATGCTCTCCTGTGTCAGGGTCCTTCACTCAGTCCCACCTGAATGTTCCTTCTGCCAAGGGAGGGGACAGATTCCCAGGCTCCAGGGATGAGGATGCAGACGCCTTTGGGGTCATTCCTCTGCCTGCCACATGCCTAGGCATTTCTGTCAAAAGAGAACCGGCAAACTGGAAACACAAAGCAGGAAAGTATCTTTACAACCCAAAGCTAAGTGATTCTTTATGAAAAAGCACAAACCAGAAAAATGAAGATGGACAAATTCAGTGACTCTCAAATACACTGCTGTAAGGATGAACCTTACGAAAAGTGAGAAGACAAGCCGATAGGTAGGGAAGATACTTGCCACCCGTCACCGACCAAGAGCAGATAAGCATGCCTGAGGACCAGGAGGGGCTCAGCCCCCCAAGGGAGAAGGCACAGAGGAGGAGACCCCTGAGGCTGACGAGCCCAGCCTGCTCTGGGAAGCACTGAGGAGATGCTGCTGTGTGCTCCTCGGACCACCAGAGGTGAAAAGTCCCACCGTGCCCAGCCCTGGAAGCCGGTGCAGCAGGCAGCCCAGTCCCCTGCTGCCTGGGACCTGCATGAGTCCAGCTGCATTGGAGATGGACCTGGCCTCATCCAGAGAAGTGGAGCATTTGCAAACTGCACACCCAGAGCTTCCCTTGGGGCACGTTTCCTGGAGAGACCCTTGCCGGGGGGGCACTAGGACTGTGCAGACACAGGAACAGGCAAACTAACCAACCTCCATCGATGGAGAGGGATGAGGAATCAGCACCGCCTCATGCCCTCGTCTGCCCCGCAGGCATGAGGGCTGGAGGCCGCTGCTCCGCGCCCCGTGGCTCTCAGACATGACATTGCGTGGCACAGGGCTTCTCATATGCTATGCTCCGTTTGTTTAAAGCCCACAGATGGGGCGGCTGAGATGACTGAAATGTACAGTCTCACACCTGTGGAAGCAGGAAGCTCACGGTCCAGGTGTCAGCCAGGCTGGCCCATTCCGAGGACCCAGGAGGATCTGTCCCGGGCCCCTGTCCTGGGCTTGGAGGCGGCACCTTCGCGTTCCTGTGGTGTTCTCCCGAGTGTGTCTGCCCAGACTCCCCACTTCCTAAGGACACTGGCCACGCTGAGCCCGGCCCGCCCCGAGGGCCTCATAACTCATTGTGTCTGCAGTGATGCCCTTCCCAAACAAGGCGGCATCCCAGGTCCAGAGGCTAGGACTGCAACCCCATTCACCAGCACAGGGCGAGGTGCTGCCTGTGGGGCGGGGGCAGGCACAGGTGCCCATTTGTGCTGTCATTCTGCAGGGCCTGTGTCTACGCTGCAGGTCCGCTGGGGTCTGGGAAATCCTCAGAAATAATGCAGAGTCCAGCAGGCAAGCCGGGCGCCTGAGCATGGGCCGTGCTCGTAGAGGATGAGTCCCTGGGCTGGCTGCGGTAGCAAAAAGGCCTCGTGTCTTCTGAGCAGGAGTCCACGTTTGATTCTGGAGACTGTGAGCCCCAGGCGAGGTCGGCAGGGGAGTGGGGGATGGGTGCAGTTCAGGGTCTGTTCCAAGGGGGACTGTGG